GAGGCTCCGCCCCCCCGTACTCCTCCAGGGGCTGCGCCCCCCAACCTGGGCTGCTTTAAAACGCGTGGCTCCACACCCCCGGTATCCCCCAGCCGGCAGGGCTGGCTGGGGAATTCTGGGAGTTGAAGTCCACGCATCTGAAAGCTGCCAAGGTTGAGAAGCACTGCCCTGGAGTACTTAGAGGTGGCTGTACCTCATGGCTCAGAAAGACAAACAGCCGAAACACAGGGGCATGCACAGGCACACCTGATTAAAAGAAAAAGTTTCTGGTAACTTTTGGTTCTCACAAGCCTGGGTTATAAATAGTGTACAAATACCATAATGCCCCGGGTATAGGATTTTTTGTTTTGATAAAGGCACCATTCATTTTCCTGCAGTGTTCCCATCCAAGACCTCCGGACTCAGGATGGACGGGAGGGGCGCTGGGTGTGTTTGAATTGGAAGTCACACCTGTGGCGTTAGAAGGCTCTGCCCAACAGTACCAATAAGGCCGATGAGAAAGTCCCCATTTCAGGTGAAATTGAATTGCCGGCTGCATCAGTGAGCTGAGTCCATTCCAGAGATAAATTCCTCGCAGTGTTTTTCCTCATCCCTGCCGGTACGGGCAGTAGCCCTCCAGAGCCCAGTGGCATTTCCTCAACTCCTGGGTCTTTGAGGAGGTGTAAAACCCACTGATGGAGTTGCTTCCAGTGCAAAATATCAGTTGCTTTACCCCTGGAGCTCAGGGCTGGATTTTGGCAGCCTGGAAGGAACACCTCTAGCCTCTCCTTATTTCATCCCATTTTATCAATAATGCCCAGACAAAAGGAGGGGTCTTCCATAAGGGGCTCGTAAGTCACAGAGGTGGCTAGAAAGTGAAAGAGCTCCTGCACAGACTAAAGGCCTTTAAATATTTTGGAAGTCCTTTACAGGCTTTGCTGTCTGGAAAGAACAGAAAAGAGCTGTTATGGACAGGACCTGCAAAGTCCCTCCCATCCTCCATTCCTAACCCCAAAACGACAAAAGATGCATTATGACATCACACCCCCAACTCCACTTGGCATTGCAATGTCATGTGTCAATATGTCGAAATAGAGTTTGTGTCACAGCACCCGTTTTGTCACTTGCCCAGCTCTGCACAGTTGCCCACTGGACGATTGCTGATTGACCTGGTTCACACACTGGATACGGATTGGCAACTCTGAAGTGTATCACAATCTTTTGCCGTGGTCCTTGCTGCTGCCTTGCTGATGGGAACTGTAGTCCAAAGTATCTGCAGTGGCCTATTTCTAAAAAGGCCATAATGTACTTTGCCTGCTTTTGGTTGGGTGTCTTATATAAAACCAGTACTGTGGTCTATATATGGTGGTTTACAAATCAATATACTGTGTATGTCTATTTAATCATGCTTTATTCTGAAAGCAAAGCATGGCTTGGTATAACCCAGTTAAATCTTTCATTATGTTACTTATGTGGTAAATATTTTTACACAAGAAGGTACACACATTCACACTTGCATTTATCATTGATCACTGACTAGATCATTCTGATTTCAGGTAAGTTCTGCATGGAGTTCTGCATAGGTCGAAAACAATTTCTGGATCATCTACGGTGTGTGTCCCAACTGGGGAACTTGGAGATGTGTGGACTTCATCTCCTAGAGCTCCTCAGTCAAGAATTCTGGGAGCTGAAGTCCATACAACTCCATGTTGCCCAGGATGGAAAGAGTGATCTACTGATTCTTTCCACAGTGACAGAAGAGGCCATTTTGAAGAACTGACATCTGAGCAGTAGAAAGATGGCATCTGAACGAACTGCTGAGAGAGACCATCTGAAGGTCCAAATTCCCCCAACATTAGACACAGGTAATAGCAGTTTCACTTGACGTACTAAACTCCAAGGTCTTGTTGCTACCTCTCAGCACCCCCTATCCATATTGGTTGGAGCTGTCACTGAAGATCTCACTGGGTTCACTGCATCATTTTCTGGACTTGGAGGAGCCACATGTTGAGTTTATTGAAACTGGGAGGTATCGCTCAGGCTTGTGTCCTCTCTCCCTATCTCACTTCTTTACCCAGTACTTCAGGCTGACTCCAAGGACAATCTCCAACTGATGTCAACCTCACCCTCTGGTTCTGCAGCTGTTCACTGCTGCTCCCCTGGCTGTAAACAATGGGCTTAGAAAGGCCACTTTTGGTGAACTAGGAAGTGGAAAGACTCACTTTCAGCCACTGCCCCCCCACCCACTCTTCTTGATATCCTCCCTGTTGAAATAGCCTCTCCCCTAATAACTATGGGGCCTGACTGGCCAAAAGGCCTCTCCAATTACCTTGGATAGCAAGGCAGCATCTTGATTTCAGAAAGGAGGAGGGCCAATACTAGGAGATGGGGCGAGGAGGCTTTTCCTGACAATGAAAAGATGCCCAACAGCTCCAGAAGGAGTGCTATCAAACTCTCTCCACTCCTTCTTCTGTGGAGGAACATCTGAGTTAGACATTAATGGGGCCAGCTTGCAAAGAGTTTCAGAAGGGCATGGCAGGGCACAGGGCATTACTTGGATGGGGCCCAAGGGCCTTCTTCAGCCCAGCCTGAATTGCCAACTCTGCTCCTCCCACCCCCCGCAAGGTCCAACACTTCCCAAAGCTTTGCTTCCCTTTTTAAACCTCGAAACCTGGCCGGCTTTTGTCCCCATCCTGACTGCGGGAGCTATGAAGCAACGGAACAGGTGGCCTCTTGACGTTGTCGGTGCTCCATCCCTGCAGGAAAGACGGGAGAGGCTTTGTCCAGAACGGGATGAGGATTCCTGCTCCGGGCAGGGGCTGGACGAGAAGACCTCCACAGTCCCCTTCCTCCCCAATGATCCCGTGACTCTAAATCCCCCTCCCGGTGGGGGTTTCCACC